TTTTTGATTGGAATGAGTAGTTGAGGCCTAAATCATTTGCCATCTAAACGCTATATGATGTGTAGCTTGGCCTGCATGGAGTATGACTAAATTCACCAACACCAGACTTGAAGACTTACGAGTAATAAATTGCTTTGCGGGATTTCGGGTGTGATGGTGCTTTGAGTCAAACTTTTTCTTTTTGCTGTAAAGATTCCTTTGCCTTTTGAAATGTAACCAAGTTTGTCTACATTTTTTTTTTCTAACCCAATTTCCAAATTGTACTTTATCTTTTTGCAAATAATAGTACTATATTATATATTCATAGCAATTATTGAGTGACATGCTACACGGCTACACCGTCAACTTTGATGTATATATTGTTGGGACCGACAATTCAAAACTCAGTTCTCCATCAAGTTCAACATACAAACTCAGATGGAATTCTATTCTAAAACTAATTGGCAATAGAAGGAGTAGCTCACTGAGTTTATATATTGGACTTAGAATCTTTAATTTTTCGATGTGAGATTGAGTTTGCACACCATACATATATAAATTTTGAAATTTCATTATATAAAATAATATAGAAAAAATATAAGTATTTTAATAAAAAATATAATTGATTGATTCGTTAGCTAGTGACTCTGTGAAAGAATTTGTGATAAGGTATTGGGCTGATGTAATTTGTTTTGTGTGTGTACACAAGCTCACTTTTGACAAAGACGATCGTCCCTTTCCACCGACCGCCTTGAGTAGAACTGTTTCCTTATCTTTCAGATTCAATATTTGTATTTTTAATTTTCAGAAAACCTCTCTTTTTCGCGAATCCGCATTAACAAATTAATGGACGGTCTAATTGGATGATTATGCTAAATGCTGCCCGAGCCAATATATGCATGCCACTTGGCTAGCGATAATCAACTATTTATCTACTATCTTTTCATTAAAAAAAGAAAAAAAAATCAAATGCAGAAGATTTAAATTGTTTTCGTCAGTCTATAGGAAATTAGGAAATGGAACATCAAGTCCTAAGAGACCGATCACGAAGGATAGAGCTGGTACATGTCTAACATCTTATTTCAATATTAGGTTGACTAAAAAATGAATATATCAACTATTGAGCTGGTACATGTCTAACATCTTATTTCAATATTAGGTTGACTAAAAANGAAGAAAAAAAAAAAAAAGTTGAACACCTCGTACATGATCTCGTACTCTTCGTAAATGCTAAAAATCTATTTTACTCTTACTATTCTTTAAAATTTAAAATAAATTATAAAATGATATTTATATTTATTTTGAAACCCATATATTTATCTTATTTATATATCAATCCTAAAAATATAAAAAACATATTTCCAAAACCTTTAAAATTTGTATTATTACGATTCTTTTTACCAATTCAAATTAAATAATTTGTTCATCTTTCTTCATTTCACGCCCTCAGCCTTGCCGTTGCGCCGGCCGACGGTTCTAGCGGCCAGGGGCGGATCCATAGCCTTTCCAGGCCCCACCTAAAATTTTATAGTTTTATTATATAATTTTTAAAAAAAATAAATACAAATTGAGTAATTATACAAAAATAATTTATAAATTAAGTTATTTATTAAGTAGGTTTTTTTTCTCCTCCTTTCATATTAAATTTTTTTCTTACGATGTCTTATTTATCCATGGTATCTTTAAATAAATTTATCATGAGTTTGCATGTGATTATAATAACTAGATTAAAATTTATTGCTTATGAAGCGTGTCAACAATGAAATCAACTAAAAGATGGAATTATAATAAATCATTTGATCTAACATATGGAGAAATATTATCATTTTTTTACCCACAACGAGTATTAATAAGATTGACATACATTATCTGACATGTAACTAATTAATCATGAGATCTTGACATATATACAACTTAATGTGTTTGCAGTTGGTAGATGGATAGTTTTGTATTGATAATAAAATATTTATATCATCGGAATGGATAATAATACTGAAATATACAAATTGTAGGGTGTTTTAACATTTTATTTTGAATTAAATAAAAAATTAAAATTTATATAAAATGGTAATTTTGTTTCTTATTTTGTACCGAACCTTTTTATTGTTTTTTCAATTACCACAAAATTTTGGCCCCACCTCATTTCATTTGCTGGACCCGCCCCTGCCAGCGACGAGAACGTCCTATCCCTCACCTACTTCGACGTCGCATGTATAGACTACCCACCCAATCCAGCGTCATTAGTGTATTCAGTTCTACCCGTACCCATGTGTTATGACCGCCCTTAATCGTCCCCTTTCCAGAAACCTAAACTTCCCCACGAGTTAATACCGACCCTAATTACGTTACTTTCCATGACTCAGTTCATGTAACCTTTTCCGAATCGAATGGTGACCGGAATCATCCCCAATATTCTTTATAGAAAAACATTTCATAATAACCCTTGGATTCCGAATATATTTTTTTCTTCACCAATCAATATTTAGAATTCATTGGCTCGAGGTGGAGTCTCTTGGAACCTGAGCTTATTGGCTCGAGGTTCTTTCCCCGTGACTTAGTTTATGGCCCTCATGCTAACCACTCGAGGTCCTGCTAACCTTGAGTTTATTTCTCCCGAGTCATCTACTCAGGGTTCTGCCTTTGTTTGACTTATGGCCCCCGAGCCATCTACTCGGGGCTTTGCCAACCTTGAAGAATGTTCAAACTGATAATATGTAGATTAATATGTGAATACTTGGTGTATAAGTAATTTCCTTATTTGTACATAATTAGGGTTATTGTAACAACTTAGGCGATGCCTATATATTGAGAATTCATGAAGAGTCCTTTGAGGACATTCACACAAATAACATGGTATCAGAGAGAGAGATTCCTTAAACCTAAAAATCTCTTCCGCTGCCTTCTCGTTCTTTTTCTTCTCTATCCCTACCATGGCTGAAAAATCCTCTTCCTCCCCTCTTCATCCAGCACAGACGGTGCACAACATAAAAAATTTGATCCCATTAACTCTTGATCTCCAAAGGGTTCAATATCACACTTGGGCGGAATTATTCCAGATTGCTGCTCGTGCCCATAATGTCATGGATCACATTGATGATCCAGAAAATACCCCTCCAGATCCTGATGTTTCCAAAACCAAATGGCAGCAATTAGATGTTGTAGTCCTCTCATGGATTTATGGTTCTATCTCTGAAGATCTTCTTCTTACCGTTATACAACCAGGCTCTACTGCGCGAAGCTTGGTTACGAGTTAAAAATCTCTTCCATGACAACAAAAGTGCGCGGGCTGCAGATCTTCAGACTCAATTCAATCATATCAACTTGGAGAATTTTCCAAATGTCACAGCATACTGCCAACAACTTAAGATGCTTGCAGATCAACTCAAAGATGTCGACGAAACAGTTAGTGATCAACGTTTGGTCCTCCAACTGATTAATGGTCTCACGTCAACCTTTGATACCGTGGGTAGCATCATCAGCCAGATGACTCCTCTTCCATCTTTCTTGTCTGCTCGAAGTATGCTTGTCAGAGAAGAAACTCGCCGCAATAGATCTTCTGAAAATTCCAGTCAAACTGCACTCTCGGCTACAGGCTCCACTGCTCGAGCAAATTCTGTGTCTTCTCCGACCGACTCCTCTACAGCTGCCACTAATAACAACGGCCGCCCGCCCAATAATGGCCGTAACTCTAATCGTCGGCGCAATAATCGCAACAATCGGGGCAATTCTTTTCCGCAGCAATATGCCCAGTCTTCTCCTCATTCTCCACAAGGCTACCAAGCTCAACCTTATGCACCTCCATGGGCTGGACCATGGACTAACTCTTGGGCTGTGCCGCCATGTCCTTATCCTACTATTGCTCCTCGACCCTAGAATAACTCGGGTTTACTTGGTCCTGCTCCCCGTGGCTCTCCTGCTGCTCCAACTGCTCAGGCATACTCAGTGGACTCCACTCCCACTGACCTCCACCATGCCTTCTCTACGATGAATCTACAACCACCAGATGATTCGTGGTATATGGACACAGGTGCCTCTTCTCACATGGCTGCTCAATCGGGTAAGTTGCATACAGTTTTTAATTCAAGTTCAATTCCTCATGTTTTGGTTGGAAATGGTTCCTCAATTCCTGTTCAAGGATCCGGCATAGCACATCTCACTCCTAACCTCTCATTGTCCAATGTCCTTCTTACCCCCACACATTATCAAAAACCTTGTCTCCGTACGAAAATTTACTTGTGATAATAATGTGTCTGTTGAATTTGACCCCTTTGGTTTTTCCGTGAAGGATCTTCGAACGGGGGGTACCATCATGCGATGAAATAGTTCGGAAGACCTCTATCCAGTCACTAAATCTATCAAGTCTAATCCTTTATCTCTTGCTGTCATCTCCCCTCCACAGTTATGGCATCATCGTTTGGGCCACCTTGGAAAGCATGTGACTAATTTCTTGAGCAAAAATAAATTCATCCCGTGTAATAAGGAGAATAGCTCCAATTTATGTCATTCTTGTGAGATTGCAAAACACAAACGTTTGCCATTTTCTATGTCTACATCTGTTACTTACTCAACTTTTGATATTATCCATAGTGATTTGTGGACTTCTCCTGTTCTAAGTGTCCAAGGTCATCGTTATTACCTCGTATTTCTTGACGACTTTACAAATTATGTCTGGGTGTACCCTCTTAAACACAAGTCCGACGCTTACTCTAAGTTTCTTCACTTTCATACTCTTATCAAAACTCAGTTTGAAAAAGAATAAAAACCTTTCAATGTGATATGGGTCGCGAATTTGATAATACACTTTTTCGCACATTTTGTACTAAACATGGCATGCAACTTCGTTTTTCTTGCCCCCACACTTCTTCACAAAATGGAAAAGCTGAAAGAATCATTCGTACTCTCAACGACGTCACTCGCACCCTTCTCACTCATTCTTCCATGCCCCCCTCATATTGGGTTGAGGCTCTTCTTATGGCCTCTTATCTCCATAATATTCATCCTACTTCTACTTTGTCCTTTGGCACTCCCACGTATTTTCTTTATGCTCGTATGCCATCGTACAATCATCTTCGAGTCTTTGGGTGTTTGTGTTTCCCAAACCATAGTGCTACTATGAATCACAAACTCTCGCCTAGGTCTACTCCGTGTGTTTTCATTGGGTTTCCACTTAATCATCGCGGCTATGCTTGTCTCGAATTGGCGACTAAGAAAATAATAATTTCTCGCCATGTTACATTTGATGAGTCTGTCTTCCCCTTTTATAATGTCCCGTCACCTTCCTCTTCCTCATATGATTTCCTCACAGATGCGCCCTTGCATCCCCTCATCGTTGAGCGCTCCATGGCCCCTCCATCTCATCCATCGCCATTACCTATGCGGCTTACACAACCCTCAATTGTAACCGAGACTATCCCATTCAACGAGCACCCACCATCTCGGTTTGGCCTCGTGTATTCTCGCCACCGAAAAGTTCCATCCCCAGAACTACCACCCCCTGCCCGTCCATCACCACCTCGACACACCATGACTACTCGTTCACAACTTGGTACTCGAAAACCCAAAATACCATTTACCCTGCTTGCTCAAAGTCCTTATATTTCCCCTCTCCCCAAGTCCCACATTAGTGCTATGCAGGATCCGAATTGGAAAGAGGCAATGAATGAGGAATATCGAGCTTTAATAAAAAATTGTACTTGGGAACTTGTTCCGCGCCCCCCAAATGTGAATATTGTACGTAGCATGTGGCTGTTCAAACATAAATTTAATTCTGATGGCTCACTACAAAGACACAAAGCTCGTTTAGTCGCCAATAATCGTTCACAACAGGTTGGGCTGGATT